CAGCAGATACCAAGGGCCCACTGTATATATTTGCACAGGAGTGTGTGTCAAAATGAGGGTCTTGTCCTTGTAAATACGAATCTCAATTCAAAGCTCCTTCCCCAATGCCATTTTCCTTCATTCCCCAAATTTCTAGCACTGCAGAGTGAGATGTTGAAAATTGTTCACATCCAGCACACTCATCTATTTGCTGGGTTTGCCTTCTCTTCGTAACTTTGCCAACCCCCCCTTTTTTTTTTGGATGCCTAAACTATGTTTCTAAATGTTTAATGGAGGTTTCATATCCTCCAACATTTCACAGATGAAAACTGGGATATGTAAGGCCAAGCAACCTCTGGGTGTGCTCAAAATGTCCAAAGTTATGAATGAGGAAGAAAAGACAAGCGTGGAGAGGTTTCCTTTGGTGTCTTTCCCAATGAATCCTGTCGTCTCATGATATAGTCAAAGTGCAACAGCCAGAGTTTAGTCTTCTTGGCTTCTAAGGAGAGTTCAGGCTTGGTTTGCACTCAGACCCATTCACGTGTCTTTTTTGGCAGTCCATGGTATCTGTAAGAACATTTCAGATGGGTTACTTTCCATTCCATCTTAGATTTTCCTGTTGCATCACATCAGAGAAGTGATCTTCTGAATGCAGACAGAGCAGGAGCTGAGAGGCAAAGCCATGTTCCTCCTCTTATGCCACAAGGAGACAGAAGGAAGTTAAATTGCTCAGACCCGGACATGGTATGGAAAGCCTCTTGACATTAATAGCAGAGGCGCGTCCCCCAATCCTCAATTTACTGCCGTGTTTTGATCTATAAACCCACAGGAAATAGTCTTTCCCCATCCATTTCCACCCCCCTTTCCCCCACCACCACGTGAGGCCAGCGTATTTATTGATCCACAACTTGCATCGTCACTCATGTAATCTGCCAAGGGGTTTGTTTTTGTGTGTGCATCTCCGTTTCAGCTTGCTGGGCTATCCTTCTGCCATTGTGCCCAGCTTTGATCCTGAACTCTGTGCTGATTCTTTTAGGTGGTGGTCTGCCATGTGGGAAGGAGAGAGCCTGGCCAAAAATAGCTAAATATACCAAGGTAGTGTACCATATACAAAGGTAGTATACCTCTCAATATCAGAGGCAGCTAACAAACAAGCAGAATAAATACCCCAAATGCACCAGACCCTGTTAGATCTCGGAAGCTCAACTGGGCCTGCCTATTCTGCCTGCGTTTTGAGATTTTTGGGGAGACCATTCTGTGTTCACTGCCTTCACAGGTATATCTGGTGGGGACATGGGTGACAGGGCCTTCTCAGTGGCTGCCCCAAGGTCTGGAGCTCCCTTCATAGAGAGGTTAGACTGGCATCCTCCTCCCTGCTATCTTCCTGGTTAAAACTTCTTAAAATTTCAGCATGCCTTTGAAGCACAATTGCTCAGGGGATTGGGGCTTGCAGAATTGTATTGTACTGTGTTCTGTTTAGTTGTTTTTAATCGTACTGGGTTTAATTTTGTGGATAGTTTAATTATATTTGTAGTTGGTATATATAGAACCTGGATCCAGGGTGGACATAGCAATTTGAGTGTTGGAGTCTGGAGACCAGGGTTTGATTCCCAGCTCGGCTGTGAAACCCATTGGCTGTCCTCGGATAAGTCACATCCTCTCATCCTTAAAGGAGGGCCATGGCAAACCTCCTCTGAATAAATATTGCCAAGAAACCCTCATGATAGTGTCTCCTTAGAGTTGTCAGAAACGACTTGTAGGCACACAACACACACATACAGAGTCAGCATGATGTGGTGGTTTGAGTGTTGGACTAGGATTCCAAAGACCAGGGTTTGAATCCTCACTCAGCCATTGAAACCCACTGGGTGACCTTGGACAAGTCACACACTTTCAGCCCCCCAAAAAACCCATGATAGGGTTGTCTTCGAGTTTCCGTGTCTGAAATGACTTGAAGGCACACAACAATAATAATTTTGGTGTATATTTTTAGCTACGTCTCTTAATTCTTTCAAGCCTCCTTGTGTCCCAAACCATGGACAAAGCAGGGTGGTGGTGGTGGTGGTGGTGGTGATGATGATGATGATGATGATGATGATGATGATGATGGTAATAATGGGAGATTGCCAACGTATGCCAAGTCTATAGGCAATATTTCAGAGGAAGGCAATGGCAAACCACCTCTGAGTATTTCTTGTCCGAAAAAACCCCTATGAAATTCATGGGATCACCATAAAATGATGTGATTTGAAGGTGTATGTGCGCACGCGCACACACACACACACACACACACAAACAAACAAACAAACACAGGGGCTTATCAGCTGTGGCACCCCAGTTATGGAATTCCCTTCCTTGGAAGCCCAAGTGGCATCAACTCCAGTTTCATTTAGGCACCCTGTAAAAACATAGCTCTTTATTAAAGCCTTGGGGCCTTAAGTGATTTATCTCAAAATACTGATAACACACATGGATTGAAAACTGTTCTAATCCTCTTAAACCTTTTTTAACCTGTTAAACATATTTAATATATTTTTTATCTATTTAAATATTTTTGTCTTGTTTTAAATTGCTTTGCAGTGATGTCCCTTGTCTGTCACCCTGGGATTTTTTGATGTCAGGTGGGATAGGGATAGATGAATGGATGGGTGGATTAGAGAAATGTTTGTGAACATGCACAAAAAGTTCACATTGTTGTTTTTTTTAAATGGCCTGCAAATTGGTGAAGAAATTAGAATGAGTAAAATAGTTGTGCTACTCTCACCTGGAATATTGTGTCCAGTTCTGAGCACCACAGTTGAATAAGGTTATCAACAAGTAGGCATGTCAAGAAGGGTAACCAGGATGGTTCAGTAACCAAGCCTTATGAGAATGACTGAGGGAGCTGGGGATGTTTAGCTTGGAGATGACTGAGAGGTGACATGAGAGCCATCTTTAAATATATGAAAGGATGCCATGGAGAAGATGGAGCAAGCTTGCTTTTTATTGTTCCAGAGACAAGAACATCAGCTACAGTTTTCCCTCCACACTTGTGGCTTTGACTTTTGTGGATCTGATCATTTGCAGATTTGGCTAATATGTTCTCTCTAGGAATCTCTAGGTCCTCCAGCTGAACTCTGCTAGAAGTTGACCATAGAGCTGCCTTGGAGAACTTAGAAGTTCTTAGAGAAAACACATCTCTAGGCATTTGTAGATCCTGCAACACGATTCTATGGTTAATTTCTGGTAGATCTCAATCATAGTAGAGTTGGACTGGAGACCTGGAGATTCCTAGAAAGGTGTTCTCAGGCAAAAAGAATAGTGGTTTTTTTCTTGGCGGTTTTCCCACATTCATGGGGGTCCTTTGCCTCTACTCCCAGTGAATGTGGGGAGACCAATGTAGTTAATTTAAATTACAAGAAAAGAAATTCCACTTATATGTAAGAAAGAACTTATTGACTGTAAGAGTTGTTTGACTGTGGAATAAATGAAGGGTAGTGAACGTTCCTTCTTTGGAGGTTTTCAAATAGGGGTTGGATGGGCATCTTTCAATAGTATTCATGTGACGCAGGGGGGTTGGATTAGATGGCCCTTGGAGTTTTTTTCCATCTCAATAATTCTATGACATCCCCAGTTTCCTTCCTTTGAAATACAGCCTGCAGCACCTGGCATTCATTAGCGGTCTCTCATTCAAGTATTATTATTGTCATCATCATCATCTCACTTTGTCCTTGGTTTGGGACTCAACGAGGCTTGCAAGAACTAAGACATACCTTTATAACTGTATTTTTGCTTAGGACCCCAAGATCTACAAACCAGGGCCTAGCGCAAAAGAGACACAAGAGCCAAAGGGTTGGAGTAGATGGCCCTTGAGGCCCCTTCCAACTCTAGGATGCTATGATACTTCAGATCATGGAAATGGATCAGTTTTTTGGTTCTGTCACCCTTCAGTCCCAGCCTTCCAGGCCCATTCCCAGCTTCCGGAGCTCTCTGCCAACTAGATAGAGCTTGTGCCTCTTCTGATTGCAAAGATGTGACTGTTCGCTTTGGGAATTTTAAAAGGATTCCACTGTGCCTTTCCATCATTGCTCCCCCACAATACACACACAAAGAACGAACGAGACAGAAAGTCCCAGTATGTTTTGTGAGCAAATTAATGCCGGGGTCCAACGCTTGGGCACTCTGCACGGCGCATCAGAGAGGCGATAATAAACTGTCCCTGGCAGACAACAAGCAGCATCTCATCCACTCCCCGCTGTCTTCCTTGCCCTCTGCTTCTGCTGTGAACATATGCTAATGTGTGGCCTTTTGCTTGGCTCCCCTGCCTGTCCTTTTCCAATTGTTCTTCAACTTCCCAGCCAGCAAAGGGACCGCCGCGGCCCTCCACACGTCGCTACATGACTGATTGAATATCAAACATCTATTTATCTCACTACAGAGCAGAAGATTCATTGATGCTGTGTGAGCTGTTGAGGAGGGGTGGAGAGGAGGAGAAGAAGAAGAAGAAATCCTCTCCCTCCTTCCTTCCCAACCTCTTCCAAATACACTGATCTCATCACAACTTAAAGAGCACCTTCTTTGCCACAACTGGAGCTTTGTGTGCCGGCCTTTCTGGAAACAATCCAAAAGCTTTCAGGCTGTGTCATTGAGGAGGCTGATGAAATTTATTGTTACTCTCTCTGCTCTTATAGTGGTTGGGAAGGGAAGGCCTTTCTCAAAGTTTTCGGAATGCCAGGCACAAAGGCAGCCAGGAACGGGCAAACTATAACACAATGGCTTTTCTTTGTAGTTGTATATTAATTGTCTATTTTCAAATTATCCTGAAGCTTTTTGCAGCAGGAAGTAAATAATGAAAGCAAACAGAAATGATGAAGTAAGGAGTAGTAGTAGTTGTGGTGTGCCTTTGAATTGTTTCTGACTTAGGGCAACCCTAACATGAACCTATCATGGGGTTGTCTTGGCAAGATTTGTTCAGAAGAGGGTTGCCTTCGCCTGAGACTGAGAGCATGTGACTTTCTCAAGGACACACAGTAGGTTTCCATGGCTGAGCTGGGAATCGAACCCTGGTCTCCAGAGTCCCAATCTAGTACTCAGACCACTGTCACACCAGCTCTGGTAGTTTGTTGTGCACTTTCAAGTCATTTCTGACTTACGGTGACCCTAAAGAGAACCTGTCCTGGGGTTTCTTGGCAGGTTTCTTCAGAGGGGTTTGCCATTGCCACCATCATCTGAGGCTGAGAGAGCGTGACTTGCCAAAGGACATCCAGTGGGTTTACATGACCAAGCTGAGATTCAAATGCTGGTCATCAGTCCTACGTTCAAACCAGTTTCCAAGTTGAGGGGACTAGCAGTCCTCCCATATTCTGTGCTATTCAGGACTTATGTGGAGTCCTGTGTTCAGTTATGGATACCTCACTTGAAGAAGGATACAGATAAGTTGTAGTGGATTCAGAGAAGGGCAACAAGGATCATAGGTATGGAGAACAAAGCTTATGAAGAAAAGCTGAGGGAGTTTAGCTCAATGAAGAGAAAGTGAAAGAGTAAGAGGACTATACTCTTTAAATACATCAAGAGCTGTCCCATACAGGAGAAGAGAGGCTCTCTTCTGCTCCAGAGAGAAGGACCAGGTCTGTTAATTTGAAGTTAGAGGAGGACAGATTTCAAGTGATCATTGGAGGAACATCTTGATGGTAAGAGTAGTTGGGCAATGGAGTCAACAATCTCGGGAGGTTGGGGTCTTCTTCTCTGGAGGTCTTTAAAAAGAGGCTGGATAGCTACTGGCTGAGGATGTTTTAGGTGGAAATTCTGCATTGAGCAGGGGGTTGAGGTACTGTCCCACTTTTTTGAGAAGTTTTTAAAATGTCCCAATTTCTTTCTCCTCCTTCCCTCTTTATTATCAGCTTATTTAAATTGCTGCAAACTGAGGTCAACATCAAATAAATAAGTGAACAAAGAGCAAAAGTAGTTTGCACTGAATTAACTCAGCAAGAGGACAGGAGGTTGCATAATCTTGCCCTTCCCAGGAGGTACAGGCAAAAGCAAACCACTGCAGCCTCTTCTAGCTTGCTTGCTTTTCCAAGTTAGTAAATTTTACTGTCTTGACCACACTGTCATGTTGCTTGACCACACATGTTCTGGTTTCTTCTCCCTCAGCCTTGCCAAGTGAAAAATACAGACTGCAGTTGCTCGCCCCACCGCCAATAGCAGAGGACATGGCTTCCATCCACACCAGAACTCCTAGATTCCAGTTTCTTCTTCGCACTTGTGAAGTCCTCAGTGGGCAAAGGAAAGCTTTTCCTCCAAACAGTGGTAAGATTCAAGTTTTTTCCTCCCTCTCACAGCCCCCCTTCTGAGTAGACAAAGAAAGCTCCTTCCTTCCAACAACATGGAGACTGCAGTTACTTTCTCCCTTACCTACTCCCCAAACCACTTCACCACAGTGTCTGTCACTGTTGCTACCGCTATCACTTGAACTGACTATCGCTATCCAAGAACTGTGTAAAGGTCTGGGGTGAAGGTGGAATGAAGTCTCCCCTTTTTCTTCCTCAATATGGGACAAATTTACAATATAGGATCCTTTCTGGATGTAATGATGAGATAACCAATCAGAAGCCAGTCCCCCCCCCCCTTTGCTCTCACCCAGCTTAGCTTGGCTGCCCTTGCTCTCCTCCTTTCTCAAAGATCCTTGCCGATATGTATTTTTGCAATTTTCTCCTTTATTGATTTTCAATCATAGACGGAGAAAAACAAGACCAATGAGATAAGCGCCTAACAGCCGGTCAACGTAAAACTAATAGCAGCAATTAGCGATGGGCTGAGACAGAGCAGTTAATGAGTTTGGAGGGTGGGTGGGTGGAGGAGTCTGGGGATGAGTCAATTACCTCCTTGCCATAGCCATCACCTCTCCCCCTTTGGAGTTCCCTTGTGGTCTGAGAAGAATTAGATCACTGTAGTTAGGCCTTGTAGTTATGAAATCCCTGTAGTTAGTTCTACGTAGCTATGCAGTTCTTGTTGCAATTTAGAAGTGGGTAGAGCCAGCATGGTGTAGTCCCAGCATCCCCTAGTTGGTGTAGCCAATGCTGAGAAATGCTGGGAGCTGAAGTCCAACAACATCTGGATCATGTAAGCTGTGATATTTGGAGGCACACGCGCACACCTTGGAATCCTTGCAGCTCCTGGAGCTTATGCTCTAAGATGGCCCCCAAAAGCACCTGGCAAGCTAGACCACACAAACCCACTGGATGACCTTTGGGCAAGTCACACTCTATTAGCCTTGGAGGGCAAAGGCACCCCCTCTGTGAACAAATCTTGCCAAGAAAACCCTGTAATAGATTGCCTTAGGGTCAGTATAAGTAAAAAAAAAATGACTTGAAGGCACACAACAACAAAGCTAGACCCATGTGAGAGACAGAGTCAGTTACACCCCTACTATTTAACTGCTCAACTTAGTACCATGGCAATAAACTATAAAACCATCCAGAACATTGAATCCCCGATGTAAATTCTTGCCCCCAGTTGGAATGGGTGAGCTCTGCCCTGTGTGAGAGAGGACACTTTTTAATGTTCTCAAACTTCACCTGTGGAGAGAACAGTATATATCTTTCCTGCCCTTCTCAGTGGTGGTGTCACCTAGTTTGTGTATGTGTAGGGAGGGCAAACTTCCTTGCTCTCCCCCCCCCCCCCCGGCTGCTGCTCAGGGGGACGGCACTATGGGCCCATTTTGGTTGTGGTGTGCCTTGTGGGTAGTGCCCTTTCTTGCTTGCCCAGTAGCCATGCCAGTCCCTCCGGGGTATCACCCTCTGGGGTCCACACCCCCTGCACCCACCTCACCTCCTTAGTGACGCCACTGGCGCTTTTGCAGGGAGATATTTGACAGCAATTTACATCCCTAATTTTACAGCTGCATTCTGGGGGAATGGCAGCTGGGGATCTGCTGATGGGTTTTGTAGCTCTAGGCCTGAAAACTCCCTCCCGACCCACCCCAAGGAACCCTGTCATCCCCTGTGAATGGATGCTGCCAAACAGGTAGAACATTATAAAGTCAAAAGGCTTTCACAGCTGGCATCCATAGATTTTTGTGGGCTTTTTGGGCTGTGAGGCCATTGTTCCAGAAAAATGTATTCCGGTCGTTTTGCCTGCATCTATGGCTGGCATGGTCCAGCCACAGATGCAGGCGAAACTTCAGGAATACATTCTTCTGGAACACAGCCTCACAGCCCGAAAACCTCAGGTAAAATGTTGCTGACCAATCCCAGTTTTTGGGTTGGTGTTCCAATGAATTCCTTCCCCTCGGCTCTCTGCTTCCATTAGCCTTTACGTTCAATGTTTTACTAGCCGAGGGAGGTGGAAGTCGGACTGAAGAGACTCTCTCTTCTCCCGCCCTTGTCTCCCCTTATTTCTGCGCCTGCAGTTCCTCTTTGATTGATGAGGTTGCTCGCCATTTTCAATTTTCCTTTATTAAAGACAGGTGGGGAACCTCCAGGGTTGGTTTTGCTTCAATAGGAAGGCCAGCGAAGCAGCAGCCCTGGAGGGAGAAAAAAAAAGTTACTTCCTCATCCTATCTGTGAAGGAGAAAAAAGATATACATGTATCAAGAAAGGAATGAAATATTCACTGACTGGGAGACTTGTGGTGATAACGTTAATGCTGAACATCCTCAAACAGAGTGTGAAAATGAGTAAGGGATTGGCAAGAACACCAGTGAGGTATCTTCAGAGACTATTCTGGGAATGAAGGATGTAAGAGAGGGTGAGTGCAGGGTGGCCTATGGGCCGGATGTGGCCCCAGGCAATTTTTGTGGGCTTGCTCGCCCATTTAAAATTTAAAATTTTAGACAAGGACAGTGAATTGATTGTGCATTCCTGCATGACAGAATGGAGTTGGAATAGATGGCTCTTGAGGTTTCTTTCACCTATGATTCTATGTTTTTATGAAAGTGTGTCCCAACTGAACATATTATTGGGTTGCAATTCCCATTCTTCTTTACCATTGCAGTTGGGAAATCCAGATTTTCTGGGCAGCAGCTTGCTGGCTGGGGGATTCAGGCATTTGTAGCCAGAAAAGTAACTTCTCTACACGGGAAGAGGCACAAGTGGTTTGCTTCTGCTTTTAAAATGGGCCAGATGGGCAATCTGGATTGCAGCAAAAGTAGAATTCTCTAGTAATAATGTGTGGTATGAAAAGGCTAGCTACACAGTGTGGCAAACTGAGGTGCCCACCTTGGGAAGCAGATCTGGGTTGTCATAAAGGCCAGGAAGTAATTTGAGTTTCAATTTCCCCCCCCCCCCCATTGGATTAAAGGTATCACAGCACCTACTGGCTGCCATTGTTTTGTGGTATTCACAGACATAAATCAAACTTATGCAGGTGTTCCTGTTTGATGAGGTTTTAGGTCAAGCATGGATGCTTGAATGTGTGGATAAAGAATCCGTGGATACAGAGGCCCGGTTGTATTTGCAGAGCAAGGCCTGTTCCCCTTCCCTTTTTTTTTTCCAAAGAAGAAGTGCCCTCCTTGGGCATCTTTATTTATTTATTTAAGGCTTGGCAAGCAGCTCCTGTTCTTTCTGATCCCGGATCATCCCTTTGACGAGACAATAGCTCCTTTCAGGTTTGAATGCCATCAACCATGTTAACGCACCACGTTATGCCAATCCATCATCCACCAAGTCTCTCTCTTTCTCTCTCATTCTGTCGCTCTCATGACAGCCTTTTAAGCGCCTCTCTCCACTGCGCAAAGAATTTAATCCTGGCTTTCTTCGGCCGCTAATCCCCAAATTTTAATCACTGTCATCATCATCATCATCCCTCATAAATAGAGAAGGAAAGCTATGAGGTGAGAAGGGAGGGAAGGTGGGAGGGAAGGAAGATATTACCCCAAAAATGAGTTCAGATGTGGGGGAAGCATCCATTTCCCAGGTGATGGTTTCCTTTCTCCCCTAAGCAAGCTTCTCATGTCCCATTAATGAATAATTTAATTGATTAAATGAGCGAGAAATAGACTCACCCACCTCTTGGAAACTGAGATTTGTTTGGACACCATCACAGAGTTACAGAGTTGGAAGGAGCCTGAAAGGCTGTCTAATCCAATCCCCTGTCATGCAGGAAGACACAA